ATCGTATACTTGCACCGTCCCTGCAACTCCGTAGCCGACGTACTCCACGTAGTAGGGGATCGTGGTTCCTCAGAGAGCGACGAAGGGTGATAACTTGATGAAGGAGAGGCCTGCCTCGTCCCGACCGCCTCCTCGTGTTGCGCAACTTCGCTTCACCAGCTATCGCCGGGCTGTCGTGCTAAGCAAGCGGTCGTCGGTACCCTCTGCCAATGCCAGGTAAGTATCCGCCTCTCTCCCACCTCTCGGAGTATCTGGCCACCTCTGCGGCTAGATTCAGGTGCTTCCCACCGGCCACAGGCAACGAGGAAGCGACCTTCGCGAATGAGACACCCACTCATACAGGCCTTACACTTCGCTAAGCTCAGACATGAGCGCAATCACGATCGCCCACGACCGTTTTTCCTTTCTCTTCGTCAAGCTCCCGTCTTCCGCGCCCCCACGTTGGCGCTGACCACATCGTTCGACACGGAAAGCCAACGACGAATTTAGTCAAACAGCGTAATGACGAAAAACGCCGTACACAGCAGCCAAAGGAAAAGACCGTGGCTCTCCCCCATTTATACGTGTCATCCTTGCGCAGGGGCCATGCTAATCTTCTCTGTATCGTTCCAATTTTAACGGATGTCCCGGAGGGCCACGGTCAAGCGACGACCTTACAGTACCGTCGCGAGATCGACCGGGTCCAAACAATTCAGAGTACTTGTTTTTACTCATCAAGTTCCATCATCTGGGTTTGAACATGGATCTGTATTTCAATAGTTTAATGGTGTACCCACTAATCTAGGCTCTTGGGTCCCACGGCCGACCCCGTGAACAGTACCGGGCCGCGTCCCGAAACAGGAATAAACAGAAATAAGAAAAATAAAAATAGGCAATAATTAACAAAATTAAAAAAAAAGAAATTAAGTAAACGGGTAGGGGGAGGGGAACCGTCGGAACCCAGCGACGGTCCTGCATACTGGGCCCGCGGTCGGAATCCTCTGCAAAACCAAGGGGGATAGTCCCGCGGGACCCTCAACCCCTTAGTTTAGCTCCATAGCGCTCCTTCGCTCCTCCAATTCTGGCTGCTTGTCTCGATCCCGGGATCTGCTGGCTGAAAGTTCAGTATGTTAACCAATAGGGCTAAGCCCAAGCCTGATCCTAGCACACGTGAGTTCCTCTATTACTAGTATTCGCAGCATGCATGGGCCTGTAGTTAGTGTACCAAGGCCGCCGCTTGCCCCGCCTTTCGAGCCTATGGCCTCGCAATGTCGTGCTTCGCTGCTTGGGAGGACAATTATCGCTCAGCTTGCCACGCGCACTGCCCCGCCATATTGCGGCTGCGGCCGAGGCTTTCATAGCCCTCCGCACCCGTCAAACAAGCGCGTCTTTACCCCTTTTGGTTGGAAAGACCCCGACTTTCGCTCATGCCGTACCAAGTTAAAGCTTTCCTCGGCTCCCACCGTCGACACTCATTATAGCCAGGCCTAGTACTTGCACACTCCACACGGTGCGTTCCCAAAATGCCGCCTTCTCAGTAAGTCAACCGAAATTTTCCTCCTAGTTGTGATTTCAATGGCTAAGTTTTGCGCTGACCGTGACTTCGTTAGCATGCCTGAGGTTGCGACTCACGTAGCGTTATCCAAAACTCTAACTTATTTCCAACTCGGACCGCCGATTGATTCGTTAGTTTGCACTGATTAAATATCTAGTTGAACTAACGCGTGCTCATGAAGCGCACGCCCACACACTCTCTGATCTCAATGCGCGAGCGTCGTTCCCAACCTCCGAGTGTTGGTTGCGGTCACTCAGAAAGGGGACACTCTCTCGGATATCGTTGAAAACGCACCTTCTGTGATGTGCAGAAATGTGCCCAAGTACCCTTGTAAGGGTGTTCGGGCCGACAGTGGTCGCGGGAGTTTCCCCGATGATGGCGGGAACTCTCCGCATGATCACCTGGGAAAATTCCGCAGACGATGAGCAATCATCGAAGGACGCGGACAGCAGCGATGAAGACGGCGTGACGATTCTGGAATTGGCACGTCAGCGCATTTACTACCCGCCACCCAAAAGGATCGCGAAGACGATGCAATTAACTACTCGGGATTTACGTAGGGCCCAGGCAATGATCTTGGGAGAGCCACTCGTGCAGATTTCGAGGATGGTCGATTCTTTGGAACCCCCTCGAACCTTGTACGAAGGCGTCTTCCCGCTCCTCGCCCAGTATACCGATAAGAGGTCCTTCTGTGACATCACGAGTTTACCGTAATCTATTTTGCAACCTGCGAAGGAAGTACGATTGTTACGCCTAGGGGCGGAAGCCAGTTCTTTGGAACCCCCTGGGCGTCTCGAGGCAGAATCAGACGAACTCAGAATCAAGATCGCGATTAAACCTGTACCGTGGCAAGATATCTGCGATGGGATCACCCCGGAAGGACACGTGGCCATCAGGGAAGAAGATGCACAAATGATGGCCACAGTATTCTCCTGGCGATCGGACCATTCGTTTATCTCGGCGCCACCACCCGAGTCGGCGAAACAAGCACACACGAAGCAGATCGATGTCCGGATCCGGGATCAGCCTTATGAACTACACGTTCCACAGTACGTGCCTGATGAGATTCATCGTTTAATTGCTGACATTTTGACGGAATATCATGGAGCGATTAGTGTGACGGATACGGATATCGGACTGTCATTGGTTATACAGCACGAGATTCAGACCGGAAATCACTCCCCGATACACTGCAAACCCTACAGGTATTCCCTGGTGGAACGGAAAAAGGCTCTCGAACGGATTCGGGAGTTCGAAGAGAGCGGATGGATTGAACCCGCTACTGGACCTTGGTCCTTTTCTGTAGTATTGGTGCCGAAAAAGAACGGGTCGATCCGCATATGCATCGATTATCGCAAACTAAATGACATCACGATTAAAGATGTGTATCCCCTTCCCCGGATTGATGATTTGCTGGATGCGATCGGGTGTGCTAATTACTTCAGTAAGTTTGACATTCGGCATGGCTTCCATCACATTCTGGTAAAGGAGGAAGATCGGTCGAAAACCGCTTTTGTACTGTTTGAGGGCACGTGGCAGTGGGTTCGATGTCCGATGGGGATTTGCAACGCGCCTGCCACGTTTCAACGGGCCATGAACGTGACATTTCAGAACTTCGTCAACAAGACACGGCTGACTCAAGGAATGATCAACTTCTGCGTAATTGTGTATATGGAGGACATCCTGGTCTACTCGGAAACCTATCACGGGCACGCTCAACACATTGAGTGGACATTGGGCGCATTGAGGGATGCCGGGTTCAAAATCGCACTCGAAAAGAGCGAATTTTTCCTTTCGGAAATTTCGTTCTTGGGGTACTTGGTGACACGTGGAGGGCTGCGACCAGATTCAAGAAAAGTTGCGGCCGTGAGAGAAGCCCCGGTTCCTATGTCGCTGACGCAGGTTCGAGCCTTCTTAGGCCTGGCATCGTACTACCGCCGTTTTATCAAGGGTTTTGCGGCGATCGCGCGGCCTCTTACGAACCTGCTCCGGAAGGACCAGTCGTTTCAGTGGGACGCTGAGTGTGAGCAAGCCTTCGTCACGCTCAAGGAGACCCTAGCTACTGCACTGATTCTGATCCGGCCGGACCCTGCCAAACAATACATACTTATAACGGACTGGCAGCCGGAAGCAATCTCCGCCATTCTAGCGCAGAAGGGGAACGATGGTCGTGAACACGTCATCGAGTACGCGTCGCGAACGGTGCCAGACGAACGAAGGAACGACTCAGCACCGCAAGGCGAGTGCCATGCAGTAGTTTGGGGAATCCAGCACTTCCATCCGTATCTCTACGGACATAAGTTCCTCCTTCTGACTGATCACGAGCCACTGCTACCACTAAAGAAGCTCGCCAATTACACGGGTATGATTGGACGATGGGCGGTGCGTCTGCAAGAATATGAGTTTAACATCATTTATCGAAAGACAGAAAGGCACGGGAACGCGGACGGACTGACACGTCTGCATCGACCAGCTAAAGTACCGAGAGGCGAAGAAATCATACCATGGAAAGAGCCAGAACCAACCAACGAGCCTAAGTACGGATAGGTGGCCGTTTTGCCACGTGGCAAGAAGCGGACGAGTAATGATGGGTGATGGAGGTAACCGTGCAACTCCTCTCTCTCCCCTCTCCTCTTTATCTCTTCTTTCCCTACCTGATAAATTTTGCTATTTTTACGAAGCAATTTCTCGCGTATATTCCGTCTCCATGCGTCCCAATGGGGAAGGTTGCGTTGACTGGGTAGACTGTCGACAGTGTGTCGCACGAGCCCATGGCTCTTGCATCCAGTACCGAAGCAGTGATAAGCCTTGGTTGTGTCCTCTGTGTCGAGTAGACAAAATCCCGACCGAGGCTCGTTTCCTCGACGCCACGTCAGAAGGGTTGTAAAAGACCCGGAAGTTTAGAAGGGAAGAGGTATGGACGGATATCGCTTTAATAGCCACCCTGGTAGGCAACCGCCCTCAGGACTTCACCAAGGAGGACCGAAGGAGGGCCAACAAAAGGGCTCGGGATTATCGATGGGTCGAGGGTAGGTTAGAAAAACGAAAAACGGACGGTAGTGGGATTTGGATGGTAGTACCGCATCCGTTCATGAGGTATGACTGGGTTAAGACGACGCATGAGGAGACTGCAGCTCACTTCGCCGTGCGAATCACAGAAGCAGCCATCGATAAGAATGAGTGGTATTGGTCCAATATCCGCGACGATGTTAAGTTCATCGTCCAGAACTGTCAGGTCTGCGCTGCTGACAAGGCGCCGATCCAACCGCCAAGATCGATAGTACCAACGGTAGTTGAGCGGCCGTTTCAAAGGGTAAGCATGGATACTACCGATATTGTGGTACCCCCCGGCCCTAATAGTTGTGAGTATTCAGTCCTGTTGGTATTTGTCGACAATTTTTCGAAATGGATTGAGGCCTATCCCTGTCACACGCGACAAGCTACCGAGATCGCGCGATATGTTAACCGTTTTCTCGGGATGCACCAAGACACGGAAGAAATCCTGACCGACAACGGGGCTGAATTCAGAGGGGAGGTGCTAAGGAATCTGGTCATACACGGTGTCGCTATTCGAAATACGGCACCACACATGTCCCAATCCAACGGGCTGGTAGAAAATGCAAATAGGGTGATAAAGACCGCGCTACGACGAAACATCGCGGCACGGGATCCGAGGCCCTGGCCCGATATCGTCGACCACATCCTGGCGGTCCACCGCGGAACGCCCCACGAATGGACGGGCCTGAGCCCCTTCCAACTAAGGACCAATAGCGTCGCTTGCGTTTCAATACCGAGCCTCCCCGACGAGTTGACCCTGAACCGACGACCCACAAGGGCCATGGTTCTGGACAAGGCCAAGCGGCACGTAGAGCTAATGGAACGGTCCCTCCCTAGGCTAGCCCGAAAGCGCCAGAGAATGATCGAATTGGCCCAAGGCCGACAGGTCCGTAGCCAAGAAGCCCGGAACGAGAATGCGGGCCCACGGCCCCAGTACAAATTGGGGGACACCGTGCAGGTAAGGAAATGTGCTCGCCAGGGTAAGCTAGCGCCACGATTCTTCGGGCGATTCCACGTGATCGAGCTCGGACCAAACTGTGTGAACACCGTACGGCTCGCACCTGAGGTCTCCGGCAGCCGATTGGCTCGTCCAATCATCCGCCACGTGTCCTATCTGCGTCCCCTTCCTTCTTCTCCATACCTACCTTCATTTGTCTCCTCCTCCGCCGAAGAAGAGGACGACGACTGCCTATCACCCGTTTCTCCTTCTCAATCTTGCTCTCTCTCGGTTACTCCGTCTCCGCCTCCATCGCTATAAGTTTTCTTACGAAACGAGCTCTTGGCGATCATCTGCTGGCACCACGAGGTTACATTTCAGCGATCCAGCAGGTCCATCATCCGTGACTCAGCCCGGATCTTCTGTGACTTGCACAGTTCTTCTGTACCGAGGGTGTGTGCGCGACTGTTGAGTTTCGGTTTGCGGGCAGTCCCCAGGCGATTGTGTTAGCCGAAGCGGTGGGCGTCCATCGGCGATCAGCTCCAGGAATCAGCCACGTGTCTACGGTCGTCGGTTTCAGCGGGGACATTAGCACGGTCAGTGCGTTGCGCCATACAGCCATTCGGACGTCGCTAAGAGAGTGGGCACACCAATTGGCAGGAGAGTGGAATCGGTGGCTCACGCCCTGAGGGGACAATCTTTTCCCTAAGAACGGTGCCGATCCCGGAGGGATCCGAGCGTTCCAGCACGAGCCGGCGGTAGTGCTCCTCGAACTCATCCCCTTTCAGCATCCCCAATGAACCGCCCCCAACCCTCCACCTTCGCTCTTCCATCTTTCTTTCCCACCTTCTGGCAGTCTGGGGTCCATCCTCGCTTCTCCTTCTGTCTGGAACCCCTCGTTGTCCCCCTCCTTGATCCCCGACAGTGGGGGCTCTGGCGGGAGCACTTCGTCGATCTTTCGGTGTGCCTGGTCAGGGTGAGGATTACGTGGACGCGGGACGAGGAACACCGCGAGTGGATTGAGTACCTCGAGCTGCTGATCATCCAGGCCTGGATGACGAACGTAGAAGGCGATCTCCTCGGATTCCTTTCCGGATCGGTGTGGCCCGGCCATCGCCAGCTCATCACGCAGGAGCTCAAGGTTCCCCTTGCGCAATTGGCTGACGATCTCCCTCTTGAGATCGCCTCGCTGAGTGACGAAAGCCTGGTCCCGCACGTCCTCTCACGGACGTTGACGCCATATCTTCAGTGGTCCGTGTGCTTAGAGGAGCCGGGAAGCGACCGCAACCCGCCGTCACAGCGCGATTATTTGAATCCGCACGAAATCGTCTATCTCGCATTCTTTCAGGATCATACGACCTCCGAGAATGAGGCGATAGAGATTGAAGAGGAAGAGGAAATCTCGGGAGAAGAAGAAGAAGCCGAAGAAGAGGACGACGACGAGGAAACCCCGAAAGAGGGAAGTTATAGTGAGCACAGCGAAGGAGAACAAAGTCCCGAAGAGGAGGAAGAGGAACAAGAAGAAGATGAGGAGGAGCTAAAGGAGTCCGAGTACCAAGGGTTTGAGGAGGAGGTGTGTGCGGAGGCTCGAGCGCAGAAGAGGGAGGAGATCGCGGACGGGAAGCGACAACTGGAGTTTGCCAGCGCAGTAGATCGGCCGATCGTCGACGATCCTGGGCGAAATCCGGAGCCGCCCAAGCCCGAAGACAGAGACCCTGCGGCCGAGACTTCGAGCGCACCGGCCGGACGGCGACGAAACCGATCCCCCTCCCCCTCCACCTCAGCCCGTCCCCCAGTTCGTCAACGTACCAATGCGGGCCATCGGGCTTCGTCCTCGGTCGTTGCCCCGCCGTCCCCTTGATTACCTCACCCTTCGTCAGATCACCACTCGCGTCACCTTCCCCAACAATCCCTTCCCCACCAATACCTTCTAATTCTTCTACTCCACCCGCCTCGCTGTCACAGTTCACCCCCACCCCGCGACTCAGTGTGCCACCCCCGTCTTTTGCCTTCATATCCTTCTCCTTAGTGCCGCGTGGGGGGGCCACAATATGATCGAGGGCTATTGCATGGTCACGGGGACTATCCCCGCGTGCACTTTTTCGGACATTTACTACCCTCTACCCCGACTATCTTGCATCCCTCCCCCATACCGGTAATCCATTTCCCCGCTTCCACCGGATCGTCCGTTATCAGGAGCTCCCGGTGATGGTGGCCGAAATGGAAAGCTTCTTGCGCCCGCTCCCAGTCAACCCACCCCCTCGCCATGCCCACACGTATCGTCTCCCTTTTCCCCTCCCCAATGGTCATTGATGCCTGATTGGTTGACACATGTCGCGGTGGCGACATGTGTAGTTCCCTCCTGGGATTGTCCACGGTCCTTCCTGAGGAATTAGTAGTTTAGAGCTGTGTCTGCCACAATCAATGACTTCTACACTCGTTCACACGGTAAGTGGCATGGAAAGGAAACCTCCGCGTATCGATCGATTAGAGAGATCGACACGTGTCAACTAGCAAGCAGGAGCTTGCTAATATTGGAACCCCCTGGGCATCACATATGTGACGAACTACTTTCTGCATCGCACGATTGCAAATGAGGGGTCCTAAGTTGGGAAGGTTGGGCCAATTATGGGAGATCGAGATCGGTGCGAAATTGCATCAGTGTCCTTGCTTCTTCGTCCTTTTGCATCGATTCTTTTTGGATGGCTGGGTTCGGAGCTAGGTGTGTCCTGGGATGGCCGGTTGATTGGTCGGTCGATGGGCTGGCGTGCCGCCGTGCGCGCGATTCATAAATGTTGACGTCGCTTCCTCTTGTTTCTGTTGTCGGACTTTGGGCGCGGACATCGCGCAGGAGTTTTTGCTTCGTTCTTTTCGAATTTTCCTTTTGAATTTCGCTTTCGAATTTCCTTCTGGGTTTTGCCGAGCCTATACGGCTCTCGGAATTTTGAGCTTCTCTTTTCGAAATTTGCGGCTATTTTCTTTTTGCATTAGATAGGAATTTAGGAATTTAGAGATTTAGAGTTCTTTTGCGCGCACGCTGCTTTTTGCTTGCGCGCTTCTTTCTGCGGCCGCGCCGGAGTTCTAATTACCCGGCGCCCTTAATCTTGTGTGTAACTGTAATTTTGGGTGGGCGCCATTGTAACTGTATCTCTCTTCTTGAACTTCGTCTTTCCCGCCCTTCGTCCCTTTCTTTTGCTGCGTCTCAGTACTCGCGCCTGCATGATCGGATCGATGCGTAGAGAGGGGGGTTACGTCCCCCCCCACGCCGTGGTCTGGCCATGCAGACGTAGGCAATCCCTCCCTTTTTTCCTTCTAAGTCTTTGTGATTCCGTGTTCTTCGCGCATGCATGCACGCTATAAATTATGGTTGCGCGATTAGTTAGCTCTCTTAACCCATTATTGGAAGCTCGGGGTTGCGCGATCAGTGAGGGTCGGCACACGAGCGAAGAAAGAGGTGAGTAGAGCAGGAGTTGGGCGACCCGGCGAGCTGGTGCCGAATGCGCGGGGTTGACGCGGGCCACGAATGACTGTGGGCGCGGGCGAGCCTGACAGGTGCAGGAGGACTAATCGGGGTGACAACCTCGTGGGTTGGTGCGTGACGACAGACTGTCCGCATCGGAGAGAGAGAGAGAGAGAGAGAGAGAGAGAGAGAGAGAGAGAGAGAGAGAGAGAGAGAGAGAGAGAGAGAGAGAGAGAGAGAGAGAGAGAGAGAGAGAGAGAGAGAGAGAGAGAGAGAGAGAGAGAGAGAGAGAGAGCTGAGGTTGAATGGACATGGATTTGCAGTTTCTTTTTCGTCCCTTTTTCATCTGTGTATATAAATTTTGATTTCGGCCTCAGGCGATCCGCCCTTCCTTTTCAATTCAACATCTCTCTTTGGTTTTCGCCTTGATTGGCGCATCTCTCATTTTGAATCTTTTTGTGTGTGATGAATGGATGATATGCTCACAACGTCTCATTTCTTTTGATCGATCTTTTTGCTCTGCATGTATAGACGATAGGAGTAGATATGTTATGATGGGGTGCCATTTCGCATAATCCGGGAATGTTTGATGGGTGCCTTGCATGACGAACTCGTATCTTTCTTTTCCCACACGAACTGGACGATTGATGCCCGTACGATCAAGCCCTTCGCGTGCCCCCATGTGAGCGCGATTTAACAGCGCGACTTACACGTGTCCGCGCGTGGCTGGTCTATGCTCTCGATCACGCTTCTTGATGCATGTTGTGTTTGTAGGAATAATGTCCGTTGTATGAGCAGGTAGATGATTGAATCTTAGGGAATACTGCACGTAGAATCAGGATTTCACATTGCCCAAGTTGAGCACGGACGAGCGTACGCACGTGTAGGCCCGATCTACCGATCGCAGCTTACACGTGTCTACGTGCGAACGACCCTCGATTCCACGGAATGACACCATGAGGAATCTCGAGGACCAGGAGAGGCTTCGGGATTCCGAGTATCTCGAGCATTGGGACGACGCCTATCTGAGGAGGAGGTACCCGGAATTTCCCTGTCTAACCGAGAACCGACTGTGCGCCAGGGGATTTTAATCGCTCCATAACCAGCGACCCGCGGGGAGCTGATTACCTGGATACGTACACCACGCAATATTTCATATCCCCCGGCTTCGTCGTTATCGCCACCAACTTCCCTCCCTTTCACATCCTCCTCTTGTACCATCAACTCACGGTGGTACCGTGGAACTCCATAGCCCCTTATTGGCCCCGCGCGCCGTGCAAAGAGTGTCGATCGCGTCGGAAGCCCCGGAACCCGGAACCCAATAGACAAACCCAAGCCGAGGCCACGTGGCAACCCACCGAATCGCGCAGAACGTCACGAAAACAAAACCGGCGGAGAAGATGAGTGTTGATTGAAACTAAGCCGTTGGCAGGGGCAATGTTGTTGGGATTTTCGAGGCCTAACCACGCGCCACAACCGTAATTATAGAAGTACCCCGCCCTTAAGCATTATTGCACCTGCGTCCTTGAAGCCTTACCACAGGAGATCTCAGTTCCGACCTAGGACTCCACCCCCATTTCCCAAAACTCCTTGGCACACCCCTTTTCGCACTTCCAGGCCCACATCCCACTCCGATCAGGAAGTCGCGCCGGGCGTGAGGTTTCCCTGGGCGTCACAACCAGGTGGCTATATCTCCAGGGAGTGCGGCTTTCTCTCCCTCATTATGCGGTGTGCAAGTTTGGCAACACACTGCTGGAGCGGTAGGCGCCCAACACTGCTGGGAATAAGGAGCGCCCAACTCCCTCCACCTTGGCTATGGTGGTGGAGCCTGGGCTCAAGGAGGAGGAAGCAGGGCTAAGGGGAGGACTGCCAGGGGTACTTACCTGGCTATGGTGGACGTCGCCTTCAATACCTTGGTCGGTGCTGCATTTAGAAGGCCCCCGTTGGGGAAGAGATGCACCAAGAAGCTTCGGGGCTGAGTCAGGCATGGCGGCCTGAGTGCAAGCAGCCATAGCTGTTGTGTTGTGACGAACCACTTTCTGTTCTGCGCGATTTTCTGCGCGATGACAATGAGGGGTCCTAAGATGGGAAGGTTGGGCCTATTACAGGAGATCGGGATCGACGGGAAATTGCATCGGTGTCCTCGCTTCTTCGTCTTTTTGTGTCGCTTCCTTTCGGATGGTTGGGTTCGGCCGGGCGAGTCCCGAGATGGCCGAATGAGTGGCTGGCGCGCCGCCGCGCGCGATTAATAATGGTTGACGTCGCTTCTTTCCTTTTGGTTCTGCTGAGTCAGACGGGTTTTCGGCGTGGGGATCGTGCGGGAATTTTTTGCTTCGTTCTTTTTGAATTTCCTTTTTTTTTTAATTTCTTTTCGAATCTTGTCGAGCCTTAATGGCTCTCGGAATTTTGGACCTTCTTTTCGGAGTTTGCGCTTTATTAAAATTCTTTTTGCATTTTTACATTAGGAGAAATTTAGGAATTTAGGACTTCAGGAATTCAGATTTTTTGTTGCCACACACTGCCTTGCGCGCTTCTTTTTGCGGCTGCAACGGAGTTTTGATTAGTCGGCGCCCTTAATCTTGTGTGTAACCGTAACTTTTGCGTGGGCGCCATTGTAACTGTATCTTTCTTCTTGGGCTTCGTCTTTCCCGTCCCTTCTTTTTCTTTTCGCTGTGTCTGGGATAGCCTGCGGGCTGCATGATTGGATCGATGCGTGGAGAGAGGCTACGTCGTCCACGCCGCGGTCTGGCCAAGCAGAGCGTAGGCAGTCCCTCCTCTTCTCTCTTCCCAAGTCCTTGCAATTCCGTGTTCTTCGCGCATGCATGCACGCTATAAATTCCGGCTACGCGATTAGATAGCTCTCTTAACCAGTTGTTGGAAGCTCGGGGTAGCGTGATCAGTGAGGGTCGGTTCACGAGCGAAGTAAGAGGTGAGTTGAAGTGGGAGTCGGGCGACCCGACGAGCTGGTGCCGAATGCGCGGGGTTGACGCGTGGGGCTACGACGGACTGTAGCGTGCGGGCGAACCTGACGGGCGCAGGAGGACCAAGCGGGGTGACAACTTCGTGGGTTGGTGCGTGACGAAGGACTGTCCGCATCGGAGAGAGAGAGAGAGAGAGAGAGAGAGAGAGAGAGAGAGAGAGA